GCAAGAAGTTTTGGAGGAAAGTTTGTCAGAGGAGGAGGAGAAAGTAACAAAAAAGCAACAATCTTCTGGCGAAAAAAAAAAGGAGAAATGCTGAAAGCATGACAAACTGTTGCATCTTACACAGAAAAGCCTAGCCCTAATAAGGAAGGCACAATGCGCGCTGCAAATTTATTTCAAGATAATGCTGTGTCGCATTTTCGTCAAATTTTGAATCGTCGGCAAAAACAAATGTCTCTGGACATCTTTCTAGTAAAAAAAAAAAAAAAATAATTATCTATGTATCATAGTTATTTTGACTGTTTTTACTGCAAATCGAATTCACATTCCAGGTGGGTTCGTTCCACGTTTAAAGAAAAGATGAAGATGATTCACTCTCCTTAACAATATGCATATAATTTTCTTTAAATAAACGTATACATAGCATTTTGTGAGTATTTTTTTTTTTTTTTTGACACGGAACGCATTATCGTATTTTACATTAATTTATATAAGAAAAATTGTTTCGCATAACAAGTGTTTCGCTTAACGAGTATGATTCTGGAACGAACTATGCTCGTTAAGCGAGGTTCCACTGTATATCACACCCAACGGTGGAGCATGTGAGCTAGCTGGACATTATCATATACACAAACAACAATAGGACGTTGCGGCCAAACAGCCTTTATCAGCTGGATTTCTGCATGAGATTCTGACGACGGCGCAAGAGCCGCACTGTGGGAGAGATTGGAGCCTCGCCAGTAGTATATAGGCTGAGTGATTCTATGAGCATGATCTGCGGGTCGAGCTGGCTCTGTACGCAGTGGCCTGAGTCACTGGGAACTCCATTGTGCGTGTAGCTATCCTCCTTTTTTGTCCGAGGTAATGTAGGTGTTGTTGGCAATGAACGAGCTGATGGAGTGGTCGGTTCTTCCTTAGTTGCAGATGGCCGCCCTAAAGATAATGCCGACATTGTTAATGTCCTTAGAGCTCTGTCAGGTATGAGAGGCACATAGAGGAAGTCATGTCAACCAGCATAGGACTGACATTATTAACAGTAGGAGACTGATGTATACGTTTACAGGGAAATCTGAGCACCCATGGACGTGCCCGGAGTGCCGTAAACATACTTAAAAGATATCTCCTGGCTTTGTATGAAATCATACGAGGATTAATTATAAGTGAAGGATGCATTCTAGAATAGACTAGAAAGTGGACTTACAATTGAGAAAAAAGACAAGAAACTGGGGGTACAATTTAGAAGGAAAAAAAAGGAGAAATAGGGGTGCAATTTACAAAAAAAAAAAAAAAAAAGTGGAGACATTCGAGTAAAAGTTTAGGAAAAGACGAGTAATTGGATGTTAAATTTAGAAAAAGACGAGAAATGTGGGTTACAATTTAGAAACAGACGAGACATTGCTGTTGCAATTTAGAGAAAGACGAGAAATTGGGGGTATAATTTAGAAAAAATAAGAAATTCGGGATACAATTTATAAAACGAAAATAAATTCAGGGTGCAATTTAGAAAAAGAGGAGAACGCTTTTACTACCTGTAGTGTCGTCGATGTGGCCATTGTGTTTTGCTGTTGGTGATGTTGTTATTATTGACATTGTTGTTATTTTCCAGTGGCAATGCAGTCCTTTAGCGGCAGTAATCGCCGTTTACTCATTTCATTGCCACCCTTCCCCCTCCCTCCCCCCCCCCCCCAAAAAAAATTAGCTATTTATTATTACTGTTTACTAATTATTACACATATACCACTGGGTTGAACCCTCGAACAGAGCAAAAAGAACGCTAACTGCATGCTTACGGCGCTACCAGTTTGTTTTAGTACTATGGTGATAGCTGCGCATGTATACTTCCAAAAGCAAAGCATCCAGAAGAAAATATCACGTGATACCCAATCCTGTGTGATTATTAGCTGCTGATGTCTATTACACGAAACGTCTACGCCTAGCTATTCCTATCTCTATTCAGCGATACTTGCATTCCTGACTTCAGTGTTTGGAATATGAAGTTAACAAACAAAATACGCTATACATTACGAGATACTTTTATTTACATTTTCTAATGTACTTTGAAGTGAATTTTTGGAATGTCATGAGAATATTTAAAATTTTAATTGAAACATTGTTAGAAATTGTCTTCAGCTTGAGTGAGTTAAACGTGTCCTACAAAAGTACACAAAGGAGTCATACATGCGAAGGTAACAGAAATTAAAAAAAAAAAACATGTATGATTTGAAATTAACAAGAATTTAAACTAAACGTATAATATCAAAACTACAGGAACTTAAATGAAACGTATAATGCGGAATTAATATTAATCTATTTAAAAAAAAGTAAGGTAATGATGTCCGCAACCAGGGATTGTTGTTGTTGTTGTTATCGATCCAGCGGCGCATGAGCTTTCGCCCTTTGGCCCAATGCCATGTAGTGGAATTTGCATGTTTTCACAAGCTTTTCTTTTCCTCCGTACAAGGTGTTCCACTTGTCTGGTCTCGGAGGGAGTAGCGTTCTTCTTGTCTCACTGAGTTTTGGGCACTCAAAGAGATGGTGTTCAACAGTTTCGTAGGGGTAGTTACATAGCTGGCACTCTGGGGAGTGTTGTGGCTGTATTCTGTTTAGGTGTCCATTGAGTGGAGTATGTTGCGTTCTAAGTCTGAAGATGGTGGCCTGGTCCCTTCTTGTTAGATGGTTAATGCTGTCATTAGGATCAGGGCCAGACATATGTCTATAAACCTCTCTTCCAGTGTCTCCCATGGCCCATCTGTTCAACCAAGTCTCTTTGTTTATAGCTCTTATCAGTGTTTTTGCTGTCTGGAGGGTTGTCGCTGTAGGTGGTTGTTCTTGTGTTGCTCCTTTCTTTGCCAATCTGTCAGCTCTGTCATTGCCTGGTGTGCCGGAGTGACCTGGAATCCACTGCATCACTATTCTGATGTTGTATGATGTTGTCATAGACCAGGGATATGGAACACGACTGTTCTCATGGCTTCAGACAATGACATGAGAATCGCACTGTGGAAGAGAACCAGGCCTCGCCACCTATGATTCTTATAGCTAGTTTAAAATACATAGAGGTGAGCCTCAGTTGTGGAGACGGCACAGTCTATGTTTAGACAGACAGTTTTTCCAACACAGTGCAAAGTACGTGATTTCTTTCGGAGATACGTCGGTTAAGTGAATTGTTCCTCTTCGTACTTGCGGTATTCTACATTTATAGCCGCAACTTTCACTTGTCCTTTACATTTGAGACATTGTTAAGCTGACTTGTTCTAGTTTTCGTCTGGTTTGATATCTTTTTATGAACACACTATATGGATTAGCTAATTCCAATTAGTTAATTGTTAACTACAATTTATTTTGGGTCACTAACTCCCGACTCCAGCCCTAGATTTTTCCGGCTGCTTGTGTGGTTGTGCTGCGAAATTTTACGTTCAATCGTTTCCCATTGCTTACCGAACCGGATATCACACAAGCGATAAACACCCGGTGACCCAATGTGTCACCATGGGGATGAGGATCACCCATGGATATGTCCCATAAAACCCCGTTCAGCTGTTAGGTTGTATTTATGGCCCAGCTATATTGAGACCCCCCCCCCCCCGGCAAGGGCCGAGGTGGGGATTTCTTCAATTTTTTTTAAATCTCACAAGGGGACAGTTTATAGATAAATAGGAGGATGAAACCAAGACGGGTCAAAAATGACTGGACAACCATAGATAACAACAGTTATAAGACAAAGAGACAGGCGCTTTATTGGACACATCCAGAAGAGCAGAGAATCACTAGACAGGCACTGTAATAAGAAATAAAGAGATCGAAGAAGCGAGGGCACAGGACCAAATGAAACCCTAAAACGAAAGTTGAGAAGAGAGGCCCAACGTGCTGGACCGGATTCCATTCATATCGAAGGGATTGCAGAGGATAGAATGAAATGGAGAGGATGGAAGACTGCGAGCCCTATGTGACACAGAAAGGGACACCAGAAAAATGATGATGAATGATTAAGTGTGATCTATCAACAGAAAGTTTTGTGAAACATTTTTTGTTTGCACTATTATTGCTCAGTTTTGAAAGTATTCTTCTCCAGTTACTGTTTTTTCCGTTGGGAAACACAACGTTTTAAATCATCGTACAGTATAACGTTTTGAATGACCAGTAACTCACGAGGTAACCTGATATTGAAAATCATAAAGCTACCTCAACACACACACACACACATTATTTAATACATGCCAAGAAATTATCAACACACACACACAAACACACACACACACACACACACACACACACACACACACAGCCACGGAAATGACCTAGCATACAACAGCAGGAAATTACCGAACTCACAACAACATCAGAAAATGTCCCAACACAATAAACAGCTGAGCTAACACAACACTAGGAAAGTACCTAACATACAATACCATGAAATAATTTAACACACAATATCAAGAAATGATATAATACACAACATATGAAAATCAATCAACACACGGTGGCCCGCCAAATGCTGTGTTACTGCAGACACGTAACGCTACCTCCTCGCGCTCGCAAACGCTGACTACTGGAAAAACCGAATGTCCTACTTAAAATCCTAGACGGCTGTAATATACCCACCTACAAACACTAATTCGGCTTACAAGTAAGAACGCAATGTGGGCGGTCGCTGCTCACAGAAGAACGAGTAACACGCAGCACAGAAAGCTTTGTGAAGACAGCAGTACCCCGGGACACCCCTCTAATGTAGACCAGCCTGACCAATCATAAATGACAGGTCAGCTAGTGTGTAGCTGGGCCCGAGTTCATTACTAGTAATAAATTAAGAAATGAACTAACACAACACCCAGAAATTACCTAACATACAAACACGTACAAGACCAAGAAATACCCACTGCACATAAAACACCTCACATACGACACCAGAATTGACCTCATACACACAAAGTAATATAAGCGAAATCTGTAGTTCACGGAAGCGATGTGTACTGTTTGTGAAGGGATCGATGGCGGTCACTTGGCTATTTACTTAGCATCATTTTGGCGAATTCTGAAAACAAGAATTATAAAAGAATTAGAAGCAAATGACCTTTTTGTTTTAGGGATAATAAGTCAAATAATGTTAGATATATTTTATAGACCAATCGGCACTTTGTGAGCGATGTGGTCCTTATTATGCCGGCCGTCTTTACTTCCCGGAATTATACCCATTTTAGGCTGGGTGCACCTGAGAGTCATGGTAATCTCACCTCATCCTGTCTCACAGCATCTCACCTCATCCTGTCTCACAGCATCTCACCTCATCCTGTCTCACAGCATCTCACCTCATCCTCTCTCACGGCATCTCCCATCATCCTGTCTCACAGCATCTCACCTCATGCTGTCTCTCAGCATCTCACCTCATCCTGTCTCACGGTATCTCACCTCATCTCAGTCCCTCCCATCACACCACAACTCAGTCCCACCTTACCTCACCTTAGTCCTTCTCATCTCACCAAACCTCAGTCCCATCTTACCTCACCTAACCTCATCTTAACCCTATCTTACATCCTCAGTCCCATCACACCTCACCTCACCGCTTCTCACTTCACCTCAATCCCATTACACCTAACCTCAGTCCCACTTCAACTTACCTTGCCTCATCTCAGCTCGCTTCATTCTCATCTCAACATCCCCTCAGTCTCAACCTCATCCCAGTCTCATCTGACCTAATATCATCTCACTTCAGTGTCATCTCATCTCACGTCCTCTCATCTAATCTCTCCATCCTCTCTCTCTCTCCCTCCTCTCTTTCTTTCTGTCATAGTCACTCTCTCAGTGCTGTCTTGTGTCCTTTCTCTTGCTACATGGACAAACATTAACCCTTGCAAAATATGTCCATTAGTATTCGTATACCGAATCAACTCATACCATCTAATCTCTCTCTCTCTCCCTCTCTCTCCTCCCCTCTCACTAACTCACTACTTTCTCTTGTCATTAGTCTTGCAGAAACCTTACTACAACGACTAGCATTAACCCTACCTTCATAATTCACCATCCCATCTCCATCGATATCTGCCTCCCGGATCATCTCATCGACCTCCTCGTCCGTCAACTTCTCCCCCAGGTTGGTCATCACATGTCGTAACTCCGCAGCCGAGATGAACCCATTGCCGTCCTTGTCGAACACTTTAAATGCCTCTTGGAGTTCAGAGGCCGTGTCCGTGTCCTTCATCTTGCGCGCCATCATAGTCAAGAACTCAGGGAAGTCAATGGTGCCATTTCCTGTACGGTGAGAGAAAAGTCGCTTATTCAGATAGTATGTTATCGTGTTGATTGCGGGGCCACAAAAAAAAAGGGGGGGGGGGGGGGTGAACGGAAGTAGACTAATTAAGAGTTTTCTGAAATCAGATGCGTTGGGCAAATGTGAAATATTGTAACCTAGCTGTAAACTACAATACAATGTTCCAATGATCCTTTAAAGCGCGAACGCTTACAAAAACAAGAAGGAGGGACACAGGACGGGCGGAGGAGGAGAAATAGGAGGATAAAGAGGAAGAAGAAGAAGAAGAAGAAGAAGAAGAAGAAGAAGAAGAAGAAGAAGAAGAAGAAGAAGAAGAAGAAGAAGAAGAAGAAGAAGAAGAAGAAGAGAATGAAGAAGAAGAAAAATAATAAGAAGGAGAAGAAGAAGATGATGATGATGATGTTAAAGATGATGATAAAGAAGCAAAATAGAAATAAATTAAGAAGAAAACCAACATAATAATGATCATTATTATGTTATTTTATTATATTATAATACGAAAAAAGGAGGGGAAAGAGGATGGACGGAGGAGGAAAAATAGCTGGATGAGGAGATGAGAAGAAGAAGAAGAAGAAAAAAGAAGAAGAAGAAGAAAAAAGAAGAAGAAGAAGAAGAAGAAGAAGAAGAAGAAGAAGAAGAAGAAGAAGAAGAAGAAGAAAAAGAAGAAGAAGAAGAAGAAGAAGAAGAAGAAGAAGAAGAAGAAGAAGAAGAAGAAGAAGAAGAAGAAGAAGAAGAAGAAGAAGAAGAAGAAGAAGAAAGAAAGAAAGAAAGAAAGAAAGAAATAATTAAGGAGAAGGAGATAATAAAAACTACAATAATAACAATAATAATAATAAAAATGATTTATTTTTATTATTATGATCATTCTCATCCGCATAATCAGTTGGATGTGACAAGAAAAAGATGCACACAACCCCTTACCATCTGCATCAACTTCGTTGATCATGTCTTGTAACTCAGCTTCTGTTGGGTTCTGCCCCAATGATCGCATGACAGTGCCCAGCTCTTTTGTAGTAATTGTTCCGTCCCCATCTTTATCAAAAAGACTGAATGCCTCTTTAAACTCTGGGTAAAATGAACAAAAACGTTCAACACGTTACACAGTTGAGGCTTGGATCTAATTTCTATTTCTGTCCTCTAATTACACGAGTACAGATCAATACCTATAAATGTATGTCTCATAATAGAGCAATGGTTCTCAAACTTTCTAACACTGCGACCATTTAATACACTTTATCATGCAGTGGTGACCCCAAAGCAATAAAATAATTGTCTTTGCTGCTTCATAACTTCAGGGAATATGTGTCTTCTTATAGTCTTTGGCAATCCCTGTGAAGGGGTCGTTCGACCTACAGACCGAGAACCGCTGTACTAGAACCTGTCAGAGGTAAAACCCCTAGACAAACACACTACAGACTGTCATTGTAGTTTGTATTTACCACACACATACATAGACACGTACGCAAACGGGAAAAGGGAGATGGGTGGAGGAGGGGGGACTGAAAAAAAAAAGGGGGGGGGGGGGGGGGGGGGTTGATCTGGAGGATTTAGGGTCGCCGTAGCTGTCGTTACTATCTGTTGGGATTTCATTTTTGCTCCCGACCAAAACTCCAACCTTTCCGGGGATTCAAGCACGGTTCTATAGCACGAGAGCCCTGCGTTCTTACCCTTTCGGGCAGCTGCTCCTCATTCTACACACTACTCAGGCTAAATTTGTAGACAAACTCACTTTAGAACTAAATAAGATAAACGTTTACAGACTATCTAGGTTAAATCCCTAGACATACTACAGACTATTCTGGCTAAATCATTAGAAGTATTCTGGCTAAATCACTAGATACACTATAGACATTTAAGTTAAATCCCTAGAAGTATTCTGGCAAAATCACTAGACACACTACATACTACTCTGTCTAAATTACTTAAAGTATACTGGCTTAAAAACTAGACGCACAGCAGACTATTCTGGCTAATCACTAGATATACTACAGACTATTCAAGCGAAATCCATTGACATGATGTAGAATTTACATGAATCATTAGACATGATGTAGACTCTTTAAGCCACATCCCTAGGCGTACTGTAGACTATTCAGACTAAATCACTGGACATGCTGCAGATTATTCAAGCTTATTAAACAGACACATTACAGAATAATCAAGCTAAAACACTAAACATATTGCAGAATGATCAAGGTAAATCACTAGACATATTGCAGAATGATCAAGGTAAATCACTAGACATATTGCAGACTGATCAAGCTAAATCACTAGACATATTGCAGAATGATCAAGGTAAATCACTAGACATATTGCAGACTGATCAAGCTAAATCACTAGACATATTGCAGAATGATCAAGGTAAATCACTAGACATATTGCAGAATGATCAAGCTAAATAACTAGACATACTGCAGACTATTCCGATTTTTTAAAGCATGGTTCTTTCAGCACGACTGCAGAAGACTGACAACTTTTTGTTTTGTTTTGTTTAAACGAAACAAATAAATACATTATAAAGTCCTGTTTAAACTAAATCACCGTACATACATACCAGCAATCTGTTCCTCTGTCAGCTGCTCAGCCTGGTAAAGAAAACAACAATAAACATAAATAAGGTTTGTGTACATACAGTGTCTCCTTGATGTACAACCAAGTTCCGTTCCGATTAACAAGTCGCTGGTTGTAAGTCGGATTCGTATTTTTCAACATTATTTTCATTCAAAGGGGTTGTACAAATTGTGCACAAAAAGCACACATCAAATCTATGTATGTAAAATTATTTTACAGAATGTGAAAAATACAGAATATACAATTAGTTCTATAAATGTTTTAACCCTGCCAACGTAGTTTGTTTATTTACTAGGTGTACGTATGCCACGCCATGTCCGTATTATTTCCCACAGAACATTGCTGTGTCGGTAATTTTTTCCCACTGAACCACGCCATGTCGGTATTGTTTCCCACTGAACCACGCCATGTCCATATGGTTTCTCACAGAACATTACCATGTCGGTATTGTTTCTTCTAGAACCACACCATGTCGGTATTGTTTCCCACAGAACCACACCATGTCGGTATTGTTTCCCACAGAACCACGCCATGTCGGTATCGTTTCCCACAGAACATTGCCATGTCGGTATTGTTTCCCACAGAACCACGCCATGTCGGTATTGTTTCCCACACAATCACGCCATGTCGGTAATGTTTCCTACAGAACCTTGTCGTGTCGATATTGTTTCCCACAGAACCTTGTCGTGTCGATATTGTTTCCAACAGAACCACGCCATGTCGGAATTGTTTCCCACAGAATCACGCCAATTCGGTAATTTTCCCAAAGAACCACGCCATGCCGGTATTGTTTCTTCTAGAACCACGCCGTGTCGGTATTGTTTCCCACAGAACCACGACATGTCGGTATTGTTTCCCACAGAACCAAGCCATGTCAGTATTGTTTCCCATAGAATCACGCCAATTCGGTAATGTTTCCCATAGAACTACGCCGTGTTGGCATTGTTTTCTCTCGCACGACGGACGCCTCGGACATCCGGCTTCGACGACGGACTAGGGTAACTCATGTGACCTTTAACTCCTACACATGGTCTGCTGGCCAACCGTTACAGCAGTTGGGCAGGTCAGTCAAGCGTGCGAAGTCGTTGGTATAGTGAAAACCTGCGAAAAGGCACACAGACGCACATCCCTTATTTGTTATAATATGAAGTTTACTTTCGGTTTTATATCTTTTCTTGAACCTTTCGTACATGTACAAACACGTGTGCATTACACATCGTTACATGCAAACATATTCGCACACGTCAGCGGACACAAACATACACGTGCGCTAGTAAACGCACACACCCACGTGCTAACTACTACCCGTTTCAAGAGTTACATGTGTGGATGTGTAGACTGCACAAAGCCGGTGTGGTTTTGTAGAGACCCTGTGTTGCCTGTGCAGTGTGATCCGTTCCTGGGTCTGCTTTGTTGCTTTCAAAGAAGAGGTAGCATCAAGACATTTGAAATATGAATTATTCAACTACAGCTCCTGTGTATGTGTGTGTGCGTGTGTGTGTGCGAATGTGTATGTGTGAGTGCACATGTGTATGTACATACATTTACATTTTCCCTTCTTTTGTCCAGTATCTGCCGGGTGCCACTAGGCGTCGCTTTTAGCGGTAGATAGGTGAAGGAGCCAGAGCGCGCTCGATTGCTTGGTGTGTTGGAATGATGTGAAGTCTTGGGCTGTCGGTGTCTATTTGATTCAATTGTCTACCTCTCCACCTGTTTCTGCGTGTTTCCATTCTCATGTTGTTATATATACAATTGAAATCACAGTTGTGTGAATATGGTGAACATTAGGTGGCATAAATTCACTTATCGCAGTAGTTCCCAATCTTTCTTTCAGCCATCCCCCTCCCCCGAGCAAATGACAAGACCCCTACACCGCATTAAGTTTATAACTGGACCCCCCCCTCACCCCTTCCGCTTCCCTGGCTCCTACATAACAGATATGACTAAAAAGAGGTTGACAGATTCCACAATGAGAGAAAAACAGAAAGTATGGAGAATCATTTTGGTCAAAAGAGGAGGTTGATAGATTCCACATTAAGAGAAAAACAGAAAGTATGGAGAAACATTTTGGTCAGAATGTGTTCTTAATCTATTATTAAAAGTGCATGTTATCACATTAATTACATGTTTAACGTTAGATATACAAACTCCCCCATGAACACAAAAATGTCCTTGTCTTTTAGCTTACTAAATAGTTAAAAAAAAAAAAACTATTTAATATCGAATTAAACTAAACCAAAATGTGAGTACAACGGATTATTACAAGTAAAAATAGACCACTGACTATGGACGGAGAGAGCAAATCTCTGGGAAATTATGGGTCTCAACAAGTGTCAGACAAAGATGTATTGGGAACACCACCAGAGGAAGAGGCTAGAGACAGCAATAGGGGCTGAGAACCCACACCCCCTTGCATCAACCACCGGGTCGCCCATTGGCTCACCGGCAGACGACTGTATCGCTGGTCGGGCAGAATTTAGGTCTGTGTCTGCAGACAGAATCAAGCAGCAAGAGTCCTTTTCATAGTTACTTGGTGGCGAGCAATGCGATGCCTTTTTATATCTGGCACATAAACACAGTCATAATTATAACCTAAAGCTCCTCCTTCGGAAATGCTGGTTGAACATGACAATTTTTGTTCGCAAATCAAGCCAAACCTTCCCTCTTCTCACCATGTTTTCCTTGTGTCTACATTTTTGAGAATGACGACGATAATGATGATGATAGTTATAATAGCGATGATAAAAGTCAAATGCGGACCCGAAAAATGGGTGGAAGGGGGCGGAGATAAGGAAGTTGCTGTTCGTAAGCAAGGCCAGGTTAGCCTAGTAGGGGAAACAAGCCATGCAAAACATTCCACAAAACTGGAGTTAAAACAGCCACAGTGACTTTATCGCACAAGTGATTTGGGGACAATTTTTAACATTAGGACACAAGCAGGGCGGTCGCTCCTCCCCATGTCTCTTCTACTGACGCTACTGCTGCCTATAGCTGTTAGCAACCAACTAGAAATGAAAACTAATTGAAAGAAGAAGAAGAAGAAGAAGAAGAAGAAGAAGAAGAAGAAGAAGAAGAAGAAGAAGAAGAAGAAGAAGAAGAAGAAGAAGAAAAAGAAGAAGATAAGGATGATGGTGTTGATGATAAAAGAAAAGAAGAGAGAACGGTAATAATAATAAGAAAAATACGCAGAACGCCAAATTAATAGTGATGCATCTGAGCTATTAAAAAGAGTACTTCTATGCATGAGAAAAGGGAAACTTCGCCCTTACCCCTCCCACCTTACACATCACAAAAGTGTGTGTGTGTGTGTGGGGGGGGGGGGAGTTATTGGGCTCAAGGGGGCCTAAACCTCCTTGTATTGCTCCCCTGTGTGTGTGTGTGTGTGTGTGGGGGGGGGGGGGTGAATAGTGAACGCTAAAAAAATTAAATGGAAAGACCGTACTCGTGCGCAGTAAAAACAAAATACTAAGCATACGTCCTAACTTTCAACTACCGTATTGTTTATAATAAATCTACGTATCTAAAAGTTATAACGAAATAGAATGGAGATTAGAACTTACCATGTTGCTTCCGGTGCTTGCTGTACGTCGACTTATGTGGTTCTAGGATTTTAATCACTGTACCAACCAGCTCTCCGGGAAAGACTGAGTGACAAAACGACATACACGTTTTGGATCGTTCTGACTTGGGTGTCATTTCTCGACTTCCTCTGGCTGATTCGTGACATGCCTCAGTGAACCGGAGATGTTATTCACAACCGGTTTTCTACTGAAGTGAGAAATGTAAAGAACACGCATGGTAGTGGTGTGCGTGTATACACAAGTGGCATTTTGCTGTGGTTTTTATAAATATAATGTATACATTATAGTGTATCACTTTAATATGCAAAACGCTGATTTTGTTGAACTGTTAGGTTGGTAAGACAGCCTGTTTTCTTTTACATTCGAGCAGAGACCGTAAGTAAAGGATATGTGTCCACACAATGAAGCGTAGAGGACATATGGTGCTCTGTCAATCAACCCAGCGCTGTCTGCAGAATAAAGGCTCCCATTGTGGGTTCTGGGCCCCTTAGGGAGGAAGAAGGGGGGGGGGGGTGGGAATGATAAGAGCCCGCTTCCCTAGCAAGCATGTCGTGAAAGCGAATAATACGGGGCTTTGTGAAATCGGATGGGTTGGGTGTAACAGCGCAAATATCGCAGCCAGGTTGTACATAATAACAGTGTCCCAAGAGCCCATTTAAAGGCGAAGATGGGAAGAAGAGGGATAAAAAGAAGAGGAGGAGGAGAAAAGATGAAGATGTTGATAATGATGATGATGATGATGATGATAATGGAAAGGAAAATTATGATGATAATGACGAGACGCAGCTATGCAGTTTGCACTAAATATCACAGGGACCTCCTTTTTTTTCTCCTCAGAAAATCTCCCAATACCCATTTTTTGTTAAAGCTAGGTGGATCTTGAAGCCCAAGAAAAATCCTCATGGCGCGGGGGGAACCTCAGGGGCTGACAGGCAAGTCTGTTTCGCTACTGCAGTGCCTCATTTCTAGAACAACAGGAAAAGATCACGACAGCCATTAGAACTCTTCCCAACCAGAACACATCCCCACATGAAAGAAACAGACCCTTATATGTAGACTGCGTAAAGGAGACAACAGACTCTGTAGATATATGTACAAGAAATTCAAGATTGGGGATTCAGAACTTTGCCCACTGGGACAGGCACCATAGAAGACTGAACAAGTGCTACAGACAAGATGTCTACTTGCAGTAGCGAGATCCCAGGCTTGGTTGGTTGGCTTCCAGTAGAAACAAAGCTGTATGGAACAAAGACGTGCGTCGCAGCTGGAGGTCTGAACAACGAATGGATCAACATCATGGCACACGGGTGTAATCCATAAGTGCTCTGTTCTTCTTCTACCTCAAGTCTGAGTCTGGAGTAGCTCAACGTAGTGCACAGGCTCTGTGGCACCGGCGAGGATCCTGAAATATCTGGGTAGATTTGTAACTCCAAATTTTGCCCGGGCAGCGCCGTTAGGCTACTCTTTTTGATTTCCAACTACCAGGGGATCTTTTACGTCCACGACAATGCACACGGGCGTCCGATCTCACTACCCAGAGACCAGGGGAAATTACTAGAAGTCCAAGTCCACTTAAAAAAATCCCAGCCCTTACCAGGGATTGAACCCGGAACCTCTAGCACTCAAGGCGGACACCATGTCTGGAGACCACGCAGAGTCGCAGCACAGGCTTGATAGACTCGTGGTGTTATCATGTTATAGCCACTGACAGGGAGCAAGTGAAGTAGATGAAAA